TAAAAAAAAAACTGTTTGTAAACAATAAACAGAGTTACCCTCATTTTGCAATAATTCTATTGGAAAATTTGCAACAAGATACCAAAAGAAACACTTTGGCACTAATGGTTAAAAACGAATGAAAAAGCTCAATCGTTTCTAGACGAAAGCTTTTACAATTATTACAAAAACCAAATTTTCGACGTATACGTTTTAATACGAACGATACGTGTGACTGCCGGAACAAATTACAAAAACAGGCTGTAATAATATTTAATAGGGAAATTTTTTCCCAATTCTCCTATTGCGATACCATTCTCCTTGCGAGTTCTATTGTGACATCAACAAATAGACAGAATATACATTTTAGATACCCGTGAATATTTGGAAATATTGCGAACGGAATGTCAAAATTTATTATTTTCCCATAATTTTGGAATTTAAAAATCTTAATTATGCTTAATCGCACATAATTTCATGCCAACATATACCAATTTGACATACGGTCAATTACAAGGTATTACATCGTGACACGTGATTTTTACAAAGTACGCAATTAGTGTGTTACGTATCGCAACGGCGGTACTGCAGATGTTTTGTTTTTATTTCTTAAATTTTAAACTTAACTCACTCACTATATTTCAAATTAATTTTACAAAAATAAATAAAAAATAGTTTTTATTATTTTTTTAGTTTTCTATGTGATTTTATTCTTCCATTTGCTACATTTCCTACTTTAACAATGGCCGTTGAACATTTTTTGTTCACAAAAATGAATCTTTGAACCTCTTTTAATTGTTTACACAGCCAGTTGGTGTAAAATCGCCCTACGGCAACTGCAGATGTTTTATTTTTAATTTTTTAAGTTTGCTCACTATATATTTCAATATAGACTTAACAAATTTAATTAAAAAACTCATTTTTATCATTCTTTTCAGTTTTGTTTGTGATTTAATTCTCCCATTTGCAATAATATTTATTTCTACAATGACCGTTGAGCATATTTTGTTCACTAAAGTGAATCTGTGAACCTCCTCTTTAGTATTTTTGCACATCTACAGACAAAATGTAATTATATTAGCCATTTTGAAAGCAAATTGGATGATTAAAAGCATTATTATTTTTTTCTGATAAACATTTGAAATAAATATGCTTCCATTCGCAATATTTTTGGCAATAATTTTTTTCTGCATTGGTTATTGAATTACTTTCGTTCATTAAAGTTGAATCTGTGAACCTCCCTCTCTTTTTTGGCGCCATTTATAGCAGCAATTGTTATTGAGCAATATTTGTTCATTAAAGTGAGCCTATGAACCTCCTTCTTGGTAATAATTAATAATGTTGAAATATTATGAATTTCAATTAAAAAAAGGATTGAAAGGACACATACGCACTGTTTCTCTTTGGATATGAATTTGAAACACCAATGCCACCATTCACATCAATTTTATGAAATATTTCTCCCAGTAATGGCTATTGAAATACTTTTGTTCATCAAACGTGAATCTGCGAACCTCCTTCTTGGTAATAATTTATAATGTGAATATGCTAGGAACTTTTACAGAAAAAATAACTTAAAGGGACTGTCTAATACCATTATTCTCTCATTGATAAGTCTTTGAAATACCAAATCCAGTATTCACAACATTTTTGGCAACCATATATCTCAGCAATGGTTATTGAACTACTTTCGTTCATGAAACGTGAATCTGTGAACCTCCTTCTTTGTTTGGCGCCATTTATTGTAGCAATTGTTATTGAATACTTTTGTTCATCAAAATGAGCTTGGGAACCTCCCTGTTAGTAATTATGTGAATATTTTATGCATTTTAAGATGGAAAACAATGAAAGGAGAATATATGTAGTGTCTAACAGCATTATTCTCTCATTGATAATCATTTAAAATACAAAAGAAAACATTCAATACACTTTTTGGCAATCATTTTCCTCCACATTGATAATTGAACTACTTTCGTTCAGCAAAATGAGCCTGTGAAACTCCTTCACTAGTATGTACACAGCTGGCTGGTGTAAAAACGTCCTACAGACAAAGTTGAAGAATATTTTAATTTCGATGATGTAGAGTTCCCCCCTTTGGTTTTATTTAAACAAATTGAATAAAACATCCTGTTTTTAATTTTAATATTTTGCATATATTATATGATTTTTATTTAAGAATTTCCATTTATTTCATTTTCTTTTCTCTTGTAATTTTTCTTCTTTTCACATAGGTTTCTCGGTATTTTTTGGAACATTTTTCTTTTTGTAAATCTTCAATTTTTTTGGATTTTCTTCAGATTTTTTATTAATAAAACGAAAAGCTTTAAGCTTTTAACATTTTATTGATTTCATGTTGTTACCATTAGATTATTATCAATAATAATAATTGTTAAATATTAATAATACTCTTTTATACTAAAAATTTATGATTTTAATTTAAGTGTTTTTATTTAATATGTTTTTTTTTTATATAAATTAAATACATTGTAATGGTTTCTTTTGTAAATGAATTACAAAAAATGAAAGAAAACAAATAATATTATAATGCATATTTATGTAATAATAATAATCATAAACTAAAATTAAAAAACAAAATAACTAATTAAATTTAATTACATATTTTTTTATTTTACTTGGCTTATGATTAATGCTAAACTTATAACTGTGAATGTGTATGTTTTCATGTTTTTTTTATTTTTAATTTTTATATATACAAGTTTATGGTTTATTTTTTATTTTAAATAGCATTAAAAGAGTTAGAGAGAATTATGGAATTTCAAGAAATTTTATTTCTTTGTGTGTGGTTTTTTTTAACATTAAGACTATGTTTTCTTTAGAGAAATGTTTTTTATGATTTAAGAAAAAAATAATAAGCAGTTCATTTTTAGAAAAAAAAATATTATTTACATAAATATTTCGAAAAAAGGTAAAATGTAAACAGCTTTTTACAGTTAATGAGAGTTATAAATATTTAGTTTTTTTCTTTTGAATATCAATAATATAATTCATTATCCTTCAGTTCTGTTTCGAATTGTAACACACAATTTTAATAGGTTTTGATTGATTCTCTTTTGAACAAATAAAAAAAAACAAATAACTTATTTTTTCCTTTTTTTGGCAAGCATCAATTGGGAATATTTTTTTTTAATTTTACTTAAAAAAATAAGTCATTTGTATGGATTTTTTATTTTACATTCTGTTGCCAAGATCTTAACAATTTTTTTTGTGGAAAATAAAAACTAATAAGAAAACTTAACATAAAGTTTTCATAGAAAACATTTTTACATATGTATGTATATAGGACAAAAATAATTCATTTTCATTTTTTTAATTGTTATTATGTCTAAATATTAACATAATAATTATTTCTTAATATTATTAAATTTACATAAATTAAATAATATTATATTTTTTATGAATAGGGTAGGTGTATGCTTCGTGATTAGGAGGAGTTTTCTTAATTATAGAAAATTAGAGAGGTATTTTTTAACAAAATTTGGCAAAGATTTTTTCTTTTCAGGGAATGAAAACCGAATTTTTCAATGACTAGATTATGATTTTTAAGTGAAAAAGAGTTAAATACATGTATGTCAGTACTCTCTTTTCTCTCTCATAACCCTTTTCTGTATTTTCCATATTAATTTTTGTCATCATTTTAGTGGCATCTACTTTTATTACTGTATTAATAATGCAAACCTGCTAGATGATTGGTGTAAACACGCCCTTTTCTCTTTCATACCACATTCACATTTCCAAAGTGATATGTTTTTACTTTAAACGTCAAATGTACATAAATCTCCTTTTATATTCCCATATAAATTGTGTCAAATCGCCTTATAAAAATAATATTATTCAATTTGTCCTCTTTATGTTATAATTATCACATTCTCCTTATTTTTCAATCTTTTTGGCAACCTTTTTCCTTAACAGCTGCCATTTGAACGAGTTTCGTTCATCAAAGTGAAGAGATAAAACTCCTTCTTTGTATTTACAAACCTAACAGGTGTAAAATCGTCCCAATGGAGGTAATGTGATTATTTTATGAATTTTAAAGGAAAAAATAATTGCAACGGGATATTTGCACTCTCTAATAGCATTAATTTTGTTTTTGATAAGCATTTGAAATATTAAGTCCTCAAATTTTAGGATTTTCCAATTTAATTTAACAACGGCCAATAATCGCCTGTCGTTCACTAAAATGAACCTGTGAACCTCCTTCATTTTGTATTTCCACAGCTGACTGAAGTAGACATGCATATTAAGAAAAATGGGAGAAAATAAAAGGGATATTATCTGTCATCTCTTCTGATAATGGGTAAACCCCTCTAGAAAAGGGTGTGGTGTTTTTTAGATATGAAGAAAGGCGGGATTGAATTAAAGGGGTGGTATACATAATTGGACGTTTTTTGGTCATGTGTAAAATCGGCTTTACAGAATGCAATAATTAAGTTTTATATAATTATAGGACGTTTTTACACTCTTCATCAATTGGTATGGTTTGGCTGTCAGACATACACATTTTTTTATTAAAAAACATGAATTTAGGGCAACAGAAGAGAGGAAATAGTGTAAATTCATTATATATATCTCCCTCTCTTTTTTTTTTGACCCAAAACCTCGTTTTCTTGCAGTAAAATTTTTTTATGTCTGACAACCAAATTGTCAACAATTATTATATGACGTTTTTACATCCGGAAGATTTACACAATTATTAGACAAATTAAAAGTGGCCTGGCCACACATGAAATTAATAACGGAAACTTAATTTTTTACAAAAAACAAGGACTATTTGGCAGTAATCCTTAAAATTTAAAAGAAATAAATAAATTTGAATGGAAAATTTAAAAAAAATATTGGATTTTCATTCCCAAAAAAAATCTTTGCTTGGAATTTTTAAAATAGTTTTTCAGAAAAAGACCAATTTTTGCTGTTCTTTGGTTCAATTGTGTGTGTAATGCAGGGAGAGGTGAAAGTTAAAGGCCATATACAAAACGAGATTACCAGGTTAATATTAAAAAAAATAAATATGTTGTTATACCTTACATTTAAAAAGTATCACCAGCATACCAGGGATGTATCCATGGTGCCGAAGGTGGTGGTGTGGGTGGATAAATTGTGGGCGATGGCAAACCATGGGCTCCGGCAGCGGCTGCAGCCACACCAGGTGCCAAATGTGCCTGATAGGGATTAACTAAGGCCGGGGCGGAGAAAGGTGCTGCCACACCGAATAGGGCAGCCAAGGCGGCAGAAGAATTTGAGACAGCTGCCGCCGCTGCTGCAGACGTTGTGGAATTTGTGGTATTGTTACTGGCGCCACCATTGTTGTTGGATGATGATGATGTGGAGGCTGTCAATGAGGCCACCGAAAAATTTGACGACTTGCCACCACCTGCTGCTGCTGCATTGGATGATGTCGAGGCCAATGATGAGGCCGAGGCATTTGATGAAGACCTCGGATGGCTGGATGCAGGTGTAATATCTCCCGGCGTGGCGGCAGAGTGATGAGCGGCTGCCGTAAACATATTTAGGAATTCGGATGCTGTTGCAGGTGTGCTGGAGTTATTGGCGTTATTTTGTGATGAATTATGGCGATTAGCCTCTGAGGAGGATGACGACAAAGATGATACTGTTCGGGATGATGATGATGAGGAACGTTTTTGTCCGCTTGTGGAAGATCCATTAACAGCTGATGAGGATGCTGCAGCTGCACCCAACCAATCAAAAGGATTGGCAAAGGGATTCACCGCACTCAAGCTAGAGGCGGGGGTGGCCGTAGCACTCAGGGGTGGACTTAACATGGTGGCAGCTGCTGCCGCAGCCGAGTAATAGGCCGCTGCACTTTCCGCAGCAGCTGCGGCAGCCAATTGTTGGGCTGCCGAAAGTCTTTGTGTCGTTTTGCTGGAGGAGGAAGACGAGCCTCCCGCCGACGATTTATTTGAGCTGGATGATTTCTCATGTTGTTGTTGCTGCTGTTGCAAAATCTGTTGTTGATGCTGATGGAATTGCTGCAAAGCATTATGCTGTTGCTGTAAAAGTAATTGTTGTCGGGCTGCTGCTGCTGCCGCGGCAGCCGACGATGGGGAGTACAACATATCGAGCGCATGATGATGTGGATGATGAAAAGAGGAGGAGGATGCTGCAGATCCAGACGATGACTTGCCATTTTGTGAGGCACCACCACCACCACTACTGGATGACGACGATGAGGTGGAAGAGTTCTCCGGTGTCAGTAGCTGATTGCGAGAATCTTTTTGGTGGTTTTGTTGTTTTTCCTGGGCTGTGTTTGATGTCAACGTTGCTGCTGCTGCGGAAGATGATGATGTTGCAGTTGTTGCTGTTGTTGATGATGACGATGATGATGTAATATGTTGTCCTCCCCAACCCAATTCCTAGCTTATGCGAGCCCTTTTATTCGGTGGCTTATCCTGATTTCTTATCATGAACATTATCTGGGTCATGTAGCGTAAAATATCTCGAACCTGGACCAAGGGTATATTTTCACTATAGGAACGATCATGTTCCATCAATACCTTGACCTGATGCCTGCAGAGAGAGAAAGAGAAAACAAATTAGTATATATATTCCATGGAAGAGAGAGAGAGGGGGGTATTCTCCCACACTTACCTATTTCCTTTGTACAACTCCACACCGAGAGCCTCAATCAAACGTTTACACTGATCCAATGGCACCGTGGGAAAGAAATAGTTATGGAAATCGGTTAACGTCATCAGCTGTTCCGAGTCGTTGTAGGCCTTCATATTTATACACGGCACCAGTGTACTCTCCACATAGACCTTCTGCACCTTGTACGGCTGGACATTGAGATTATTGGCAGGTATTTCCGGTATGATGTTCAAACGTTGCGAGTTGTCGGCTGCTGCCGCCGCCATTGCCGCATGCCTTTGCAAGTGGACACTGGCCGAGTTGGCGGCCGCCTGTTGCTGGGCAGCAGCCGCTGAGGAATTTGCGGATTGCCGGCCATTCTGTTGATGATGGGCTGCAGCGGCTGCTGCCAGTCTTTGTTGTTGTTGATTCTGTTGTTGTTGCTGCTGGGCTGCTGCCACTGCGGCCGCCTGCTGTTGTTGCTGCTGCTGTTGTTGTTGCTGCTGTTGCAAGTAGGCTGAGGCAGCTTGCAGAGACCTTCGAGGGGAAGATAAATCGATTACTTCCATTGGTGTGGGTGTAGTAGAAGAGGAAGAGGAGGAAGAAAGTTGTTGTGGTTGTTGGTAATTGTAATTTGTCGGTGTCAGAGATGCTGATTTCGTACGTCCGGGTGAGGGTGAATGGGCTCCACCACCCAACACAGTAGCCGCCGCCGTCGTTGTCGAACATATAACACTCTTTTGCCGATTACTATTCGGAGTAGAGGCCGAGGAAGACGACGACGATGAGGCCGAACTGGCCGACGGCGAGTGGGCACTACTACTGTGTTGGAAATGGGGTGGCAGTTGTGGCGTTATGGTAACATGTGGATTGGGCACAATTGACACCGAGGTACCCGGCAGTTGGATACCACCATTCGCTGGCGATATGGGCGGTGATATAAAAGGCACAAAGGTATTTGAGGCATTCGTTTGTATGAAGGTCGATAAGTCGGGATTGGATAAGACCTTTTGGACCACAGCCCTCATTTCATCATTCATTTTGAATTTCTTTTCGAATTCCTCTAAGGCCGCTGATGAGTTAAGAGGTACTGTAGCAGGTCCCACTCCACCACCACTGCTGGGGTGTGAAGGTGTATTACCACCACCCCCCGCCGTCGAGGAACGATTTGATTTACGCTGAGCCTCCAAGGCATTTACCGGTATTAACGGAGGAACATGGGGTTTGGTAAATTGTCCATTACTCTGTCCCGGCGTTGAAGCCGCCGCTGCCTTGGATGAAGATGATTTATTTGGATTATAATCCAACATGGTTATTAAATCGGTATCTAGCGGCAGTGAGGGTAGCGGTGGAAATGGACTTTTACTGCCCGTTGGCAAGAGACCACCGGAATTTTTAAATTGTTGCGTCAACAGCAGTCGTTGTGAGGGTGTCAATTGATTCCACAACGCTAAATTATTGTAATCTTGCACGGTGGATGGTGCCGAGGAGGCTAAATTGAAATTACTTGAGAGTAATGAAGAGACTACTTTGGCACTGGTCGATGCCGCAGTGGCGAGAGGTGATGTAGCGGGTTGTGGTGTTGGGACAATGGGGTTAAGGGAGGTGTTTATATGTCTTGGTTGTGTTGTATTATTAGTGGATGGTCTCGTTTGTTGTGTTTGTTGTTGTTGTTGCAGCAACGTTTGCTCGACACTAGACCTAGAAACATTATATACAAATTGTTTGTTGTGAGTTTTAGATTTTTGCGATTTTTGTTTAATTTTTTTTTTTATTTAATTCTTTATGAAAATTGTAGTTTTTTTTTTGCTTTGGAATAATAATTTACAAAAAGGATTTTTCAAATTTAATTGTAATTTTTTGTTCGATTCCTTTTTTTTTGTTGTTTTCTATAAGCGAATATTTTTTTTTAAATTATTAACATAACCTAAAACTGTTTTTTTTTTCTTGGCATAAACCTAGGTATTTATTTATTTTTTTACTTTTTGAATTATTATACTTTAATAGCTACATATATTTTCCTTTTAATATATTATTTTATTTATTTTTATTTATTGAAATTCATTCCTCATTAAAAATTCTATATTTTGAAAGATTTAATCCAAGCTCCTTTTCTTCTTTGTCTACTTTGAAATACAAAGTCTAAGTACCCCTTGATATACAATGTAAATACGGTGTAAATACAGTTGTAAATAAGAAATACCAGTTGCTTTGTAGCTGGAAGGGAAATGATAATTTTAAAAGCTTGTTTCTCCCTTGTGTTAGCGTTATTTATGTCTATTATTTACAGTTGTATTATTTTTTCATTGAGTTATTTCCTTATTTTTCTCTATGCTTTAAATAACCCACTACACACAATATCACAAGACACCAAAGGGCGGCAATGTAAAAACGCTTTTATAACAAGTAAAATGACAATTATTTTTGGGACTATTGAAAGCTATCACAAATTTTTCTATTATTAAAGGGAAGATAAAAAATAATAGTTGTAATTTATCCAATATCTATTGTTGCTTTATTGCATTTTTTATTTTTCCTTCTTCGCTTGCAGCGCTCTAAAGAGTTCAGTCATTTTGCTATGTAATGTAAAGGCGGCGTTGGTGTAAATACGCTTCAGCGACAAATTAAGAAGCAGCTGTTATGTTTAAGGGGAGCACTTTGAGCTTTATCAAGAGAGTATTATGCAGTGGTAATTGCAGCTTCTCATTTACTAACTTCTCTTCCCTCTCTCTTTTCCATCTTTCCCTTTATCTTGTGTCATTGCATTCCAATATGTTTTCATTCTAAATCATAGCTCTGTGTAACACAAGAGAGTTCAATGTCAGCGTTGGCATATAATGTAAAGCCGTCACTTTAAGAACGCTTTCAAACACAAGGAAGACGCCGTCACTGTAAGAATACCTTGAACACAAGGGAAGCACCGCCACGTGAAGAACGCCTTGAACACTAGTAGGGGAGATAACAAATCAAAAAATAGAGGAAATGGTTACATATGTGAAAATTATCTTGTTGCCTCCCCTCCTTTCTTCTTATAATTTGTTATTTTCCTAACATTCTTAATGATCGTTCTCAGTGTAACACAAGAGAGTTCAATGCCAGCTTTGGTGCACAAGGCAAAGTCGTTGATGTAAAAACGCCTTGAACACAAGCAAGAGAGACAGTTGTGACAGTTTAATTTGGCGCAAATAGGAAAACAAGGAGTAAGGGTGAGCAAATGTACTGAGAAATGCCTATAAATGGAAAAATATTGCTTATTATCTTCCCTCTCCTTTCTTCTTCCCCTTTTCACTTGTCATCATTGCCTTAAAATAGTTCCGTTCCAGAAACTAAAAGAATCTACTCATTTTACATGTTTTGCAACTTTTTACTCGAAAACCGTTCCTCAACCCACAAAACTGGTAAAACATTGAATCAAATTTAAGAGAGCACAAAACAAAATGGCGTTCTCTTTGTAAACTTTTTACTCGAGAAATTTGGCCGAGTAAAAATGGTAAACAGGAATGCCTACTTCTGATTGGCTGTTATGTTCATTTTGAAGTATTGCCATCTAATTTTGGCATATTTACTAGATTTGCGTTCCCGAACTTTTCAAATTATTTTGTACTCTGAGAGAAATTTTAAAATGTTTCCCTTTTACTAGATTTACTATTAAAAAAGTACTGGAACAGACCAAATATGGTTGCAATAAATTCTTAACTATCGTTCTCTTTGTAACACAAGAGAGTTCAATGCCAGCTTTGGTGTGCAAGGCAAAGCCGTCAGTGTAAAAACGCCTTGGACATAAGTAAAAGAAACAGCTGTGACAGTTCGTTTTGGCGCTATTAGTAATTAATCAGGGTAAAAGTGGAAAAAACCACTTGGAAATGGCTACAAATGGAAAAAATGTGGCTGTAGGAGACTCCACTGCCAATGCAGAGTATATTTTGACAAAAGCGACATGTTTTTATGGATAATCAAACGATTACTTAATCACATTATTTCCCAGGTGAACACAGGGAAGAAAGTGTTGACAATTTGTTGGCGCAATCTGGAAAATGGTTACTAATGGGTAAACTGTAGCTATGGGAGGACTCAACACCCATTAAAAAGTATATTTTACAAAAACATTACGAAGCTGTATGAATAATAAAAGTAATAGTTTGATGTATTTCCAGGTGAAGAGAAGAAGACTTGTAAAGCCAATGTATGCCAAAGGGGAAATGTGTGCTCCGTAAGGAATTAAGAGGTCCCCAGAGACTTCTCTACTGCCTTACCAAGAAGTGCACAAAGAGTATGGGAAAATGGAAAAGTAGTTGTTTAGAAGTAAGTTGAGGATATTTAGAGGGCTAGAAATTGTCTTTAAGCGAATGGATGAAACCGAAAAGCCCATTCCAAGAGTTTATACACATAGGTAATGTAAATTAATATGACAACAAGATGTTTTTACATTCATTTATTATTTCTATATTAGACATATTATTGATACTTCGAACCATATTGGAAGGCAGATAATTTTGAAACATAAATTTAATCGTCCAAAGGATAACACACTTTCCATATGTTGGAAAATATGTGAATAATAAAAAGATATTCAATTCGATTACTTCTATAGGCAATATAAAGTAATATGGAAGCATTTAGAACAATCAAGTTGTATTTGAATATATTTCTGATATCCCTATTAGACGATATCGGCTATTTTTCCTATTCTTTGGACTTTTCAGGCTATATTTCCCAAAAAAGAAAAGTTAACCAAGTATTTATAATGTGATACCCATATCAATTACATCTAAATAATTTTTTTATATTTTTTATAGGGAACAGCGAGGTGTAAAATGAAAGCTTTTAAAAAATGTTTGTGAAATGAAATGTTCCTGTTCCTTCATAAACTTCATACGGATTGCTGTAAACTTCTAACTTTGGGCCATAGTTCAACATTGTTAGAGGTTAGTAATGGTCACCGTCTTTATTATATAGTAAAATCATCCCTATAAACACCACTTAAATATTATATATATTTACATTTAGGGGCGGAAATTTGGAACCTAACCCATAATTTTTTTTTTGTTAAATAATTTTTAAAAAATATTCGCTTTATATAGTATTGATTTTTTTTAATATTTAAAATTGATTATTTTATGAAGTATTTTACTGTTTGTACACGCATTATATATAATGTATCTAGGAATTGGTATTTGGCGTTAAGAAAAAAATAGTATTTGCATCATTATTTAAACCTAAGAGTTTATTTTTTGAGACACATTTTGTAGTTGTTGTTTTGCAGTTGTATGATTTGGTAATTGTTTCTTGGTTTGGTTTTGACAACAAGTCAAATAGTAATACGTTTTTGCAACAAAAACAAAATGAGAAAAAATAGTTTGTTTTATTTTTCAAAATACAGAAGACAAAAAAATAAAGCAAGGAAGAAAAATTGTGATTATGTTTTTCAAATGTTGTAGTTTCTTTTTTTGTTTTGTATATTTTTTAGATTTCTAAATGTTTTTAAGTGAAACAAATTTGCTAACTACACAAAATTATTTTAAGTATTGACTTTATATATTGCAAAATTTGGCATGCATTTTATGCAATAACAAAACATATATATACGGTTAAGTCGTAGTAACACGCATTAATTATTAAAAAATAAATTTGAAAAAAAATTGCTCAAAAGTAGATTTTAAAATTTTTAAGCACTATTTTGCATTATTTAAAAAATAAATATTTTTATTATTTATAAAACAACTTTACATAATATTAGTTATTATTATCGGGTTCTAATTGAATTTAAAATAAACCGTATTCGAATCTATAAAATCATAATAAACTACGCCTAGTATTAAAAAATAAAATAAAAACTATTAAAAAAATATTTAAGTACCAAAGATTGTCAATTTTTATTTTCTATTAATTAAATATTAATTGTAAATAACGCCTAAAAAATGCACGCCTCCTACATAAATATTCCAAGGACAGCCCAAAAGTAGGCAACATTTTTTGTTAAATGACTAATATAGTATTTTTTCCAAATTTCAACTACAACAATGCGAAAAACATGTTATTTAATTTATTGTTAATTAATTTACAAAAAAAAAAAAAAATTTTTTTTTTTTTTTTTTTTTTTGAAAAAAAAAAATTTTTTTCAAAAAAATAAATAAAATTGAATTTAGAGAATTCAAATTAAATGCGTGCACAACAACATAATTTAGATAAAAAAATTATATAAAAAAATATTAGATTTTTTTTTTTGGTGCAAAAGAAAAAAAGCACCAAAAAAAGTATTCAGTTTTAGTTTTGTAATTAAAAGGAATTTATTGAATTTAGGTGGGGGATAAAAACAATACCAAAAACCAATTTGTTTTTCTTTTTTTTCTAATATTTTCAAAAGCTAAAATATTAGCTTATAAAAGATTCCAATTTCTTCAATTTTTGTTATTAAAAAGGAATTACAACTAAATTTGAAAAACACAATTATATAGAAAAAATAATAATAATAGAAAATAACTAAAATGTTTTTTTTTTTTTTTTTTTTATTTAAAAAATATACAGGTTTGGTTTGTCTACTTACATATGATTGGCATTTTGACCGCCCGCTGAACGCACCAATGGTGGTGGTGCATTGCCTTGGCCACCATGTGAATTAACCGGTTGCATTGAAATTGCTGCATTATTATATGCCCCATAGGCTTGGCGATTGTTTAGCAGTATATTATCCATGGGATTGCGATATTGATTGCGGGAATTTGCGGCATGTGTTTGTTGGGCCTAGAAGGAGAACGAAAAATTAAAATCATACATTAATGTCAAAATAAACTACATAAACTAATAAATTTACGCATAAGATAAATATTTAAAAAACGTGCAAAAATTAAAAAGATAATCCTTTATATTTAAAACATGGAAAATATGACACCTAAAAGTAGGCAACTATTTTTTTCTCCAACACCTAAAGCACATGGGGAAATATGAAACATGTAAGTAGAACAAAATTTAATTGTGCGAATTTCAATAACAAACATTCAATTTTCAGATTCGCTTTGTTCAGTGACCTATACTAAAATTCGCTGCAGAAGATGTTCTTCATTGACAGCAACCTTCTAAAACTGTGTATACTTCGAAATTTTGGACCAAATGGAAAGGTCTACGAAAATGACCAAAAACGCAGTTTATATACCAATTAAAATTAAAATGCCCAATTTTTGGGGCTATTTTTTATACTTAGCGACTCATTATGTTCAGTGACCCCTAGTGGAATTTGCCGGACAATATATTCCCTATTGAGACCAACTTCCCAAAGTGAAGGATTCTTGGAGGTTTTGGGACAATTGGAAAGTTATATTAAAATGACCATAACCTAATTTATGTACCAATTTAAAAGGTAAATTATTAATAACAAATATTTAATTTTCAGATTCGCTTTGTTCTGTGACCTATACTAAAATTCAGACCAACTTCCTAAAATGAAGGATTGTGGGAGATTTTGGACCAAATGGAAATGTATATGAAATTCAACAAACATAACTTTATGTACTAATTTAAATGCCCCTTTTTTTGAGTTGTGTGTTACACCTAGAGACTTCTGTTGTTCGGTGACCCATGGTGAAATTTGTCGAAGAATATCTTTCCCATTGAAACCAACTTCCTAAAATGAAGGATTGTGGCAGATTTTGGACCAAGTGGAAATGTATATGAAATTCAACAAACATAATTTTATATACTAATTTAAATGCCCCAATTTTTGAGTTGTGTGTTATATCTAGAGACTTCAGTTATTCGGTGACACAGTGAAATTTGCCGGAGAATATATTCCCCATTGGGACAAACTTCCTAAAATGAAGAATAGTTGGAGATTTTGGACCAATTGGAAAGTTATACAAAATTGACCATAACCTAATTAATATACCAATTTAAATTACCAATTTTTCGTGTTTTATGTTATACTTAGACACATCCTTTGTTCAGTGACCCATAGTGGAATTTGCTGAAGAATATTTTACCCATTGAGACCAACATCTAAAATGAAGAATATTTGGGGATTTTGGTCCAATAGGAAATACATATGAAGTTGACCATAACCTAATTAATATACCAATTTAAATACCTAATTTTTGGAGATGTGTACTATATCTATAGACTTCTATTGTTCAGTGACCCATTGTGAAATTTACCGGAGAATATATTCCCCATTGAGACCAACATCGTAAAATGAAGGATTGTGGGAGAAAGTTCTATTAAATTGAACATAACCTATTTTATATACGAATTAAAATAACCCATTTTCGACTTTTGTTGTTCGGTGACCCCTAGTGAAATACACGGGAGAACATTTTTCTCTATTGTTTCAAACTTCTAAAATGTAGGATTATGGGAGAATTTGGACCAATTGGAATGTTATACAAAATTGGCCATAACCTAATTTATATACCAACTTAAATGCTAAATTTTTGGAGATGTGTACAATATTTAAAGACTTCTGTTGTTCAGTGACCCCCTGTGAAATTTGTCGGAGAATATTTTTCACATTGACACCAAACTTCTAAAATCGAGGATTGTTGGAGATTTTGGATCAATTCGCAAAGTATGTGAATTCGACCAAAAATTATTTATATAACAATTGAAGTGCCCAATTTTTGGAAATGTGTACAATTTTAGAGACTTCTGTTGTCCGGTGACCCACAGTGAAATTTACGGCAGAACATTTTTCTCTTTGGTTCCAACCTTCTAAAATGCAGGATCGTTGGAGGTATTGGGTCGAATCGGAAAGTATGTGCATTTGACCATAACCTAATTTATATACCAATTAAAATGCCCTATTTTTAGAGATTTGTGTAATATTTAGAGACTTCTTTTGTTCGGTGACCCATAGTGAAATTTTGGTGACCCATAGTGAAATTTGAAATTCGACATAAAATATTAAAGTAATTTTGAACCAAACATAACCTCAATGTTATTAAGAAAAAAAATTATGTTATATATCGCATTATTTTAATATATTATGAAAAGGGAATTAGGAAAATATTGAAATAATTGAATATTTTACATATTCAAAAAGATTGAATTGAAATCTCAACATAACCTCAAATTAATACAACAACAAAAAAGTGAAATTTTTACAAATATTTCAACAAAATCGATTTGTGACCACTATGATAATGAAAAGTAGTGTAAAATTCAAGGATTTAAAAAAATCAATACACATAACCTCAAAAAAAATTTTTTTGCACCCTAACCTCAAAATTTTCAAAATGTTTCTCTTGCCCAAATTTTGTGTAAATTAAAACATAAATAATCTTTTTTTTATATATAAAATAACGCTCAATTTTATTAAGCATAAGGGTGGTGGGTGGAAAATGTTCAGTACTAAAAAATCGTATATATAGTTTTAAAATTTGTTACTTAATTATTTAAAATTTAAAAAAAAATTAAATAAATTATAAACATTGTTAAAATAATTATTGATTAAATTTTTTTATAAATAATTTTATTATTAAAATCTTAGTTTTTTATTTATTAAAAAAAATCGTTCCAAATGCTGTTTGAAAAATTAATCATGGTGAGGAGGAACTTGTCAAGGTTAAAAAATTCTTATAAAAATCCTTATAATAACTTATAATTATTAATATTTATGGCATAATTTTGTTTAACAAAATGTCCAGCATTTTTATTTTTTTTTTTTTCAATTTAAATAAAAAAGACTAAAATTGAACAACATTTTTTTTTAATAAAAAAAACTAAAATAGAACATAATATTTTTTTATATATAAAAATAGAGTTTTTAGTAATTAGTATTCGATTTTGTTTGTTTTTATATTTATTGGAAATAAATTTAAATTTTTTACAATGAAAAATTTGAGAGTCCATACAGAGAGGGAGAGAGAAATTGATCACAATACAAACGACATTTACAATTTACTTATGAGATCTAAAAAAATGTTTGAAAAGCTTGTTATTAAAAAAATATTCATTAGTAACTAACAAAAATTTTGAAATTTTAATATTAAAAAAAAAAATTAGGCGGCTAAAATTAGGCACCATTTTTATTTTTTAAGTTATTTTATATACCAATGCCCAATTTTTGGAGATTTGTACTATACATTGAGACTTCTGTTGTTCGGTGACCCCTAGTGAAATTTACCAGAGAACATTTTTATCTTTTGTTCCAAACTTCTAAAATCAAGTATTGTTGGAGATTTTGGTCCAATTGGAATGTCATATAAAATTGACCATAACCTAATTTATATACCAATTAAAATTACCATTTTTTGGAGTTGTGTATAATATTTAGAGACTTCTGTTGTTCGGTGACCCATAGTGAAATTTGCCGGAGAACATTTTTCTCTTTTGTTCCAAACTTCTAAAATGAAGGATTGTGGGAGAATTTGGTCCAATTGAAAGCTATACAAAAAATGACCATAACCTAATTTATATACCAATTAAAATAACCCATTTTCGAGACGTGTATAATTTTTAGAGACTTATGTTGTTCGGTGACCCATAGTGAAATTTGCCAGAGAATATTTTTCTCTTTTGTTCAAAACTTCTAAAATGAAGGATTGTGGGAGAATTTGGTCCAATTGGAAAGCTATACAAAAAATGACCATAACCTAATTTATGTACCAATTGAAATGCCCAATTTTTGGAGATGTGTACTATACCTAGAGACTTCTGTTATTCGATAACCCCTAGTGAAATTCACGGTAGAACATTTTTCTCTTTGACTCAAAGCTTCTAAAATCGAGGTTTTTGGGAGAACTTGGAACAATTAAAAAGTCATATCAAATTGACCATAACCTAATTTATGTACCAATTTAAGTTACCAATTTTTGGAGATGTGTACTATACCTGGAGACTTCTGTTGTTCGGTGACCCCTAATGAAATTCACCGGAGAACATTTTTCTCTTTGCGTTAAAGCTTCTAAAATTAAGGATTTGGGAGATTTTGGTCCCATTGGAAAACTATATAAAATTTACCATAACCTAATTTATGTAATAAATTCAATTTTTAATTGCCCTATTTTTCGAGTTGTGTATTATACATAGACACATCCTTTGTTCGGAGACTCATAGTGGAATTTGCCGGAGAATATTTTACCCATTGAGACCAACATTCTAAAATGAAGAATATTTGGAGATTTTGGACAAATTGGAAAGTTATACAAAATTGACCATAATCTAATTTATGTATCAATTTAAATGCCCAATTTTTGGAGATGTGTACTATGCCTAGAGACTTCTGTTGTTCGGTGACCCCTAGTGAAATTCACGGGAGAACATTTTTCTCTTTGCCTGCCAACTTATAAAATGAAGGATTGTTGGAGATTTTGATCCAATTGGAAAATTATACAAAATTCACCATAACCTATTTTATATACCAATTAAAATAACCCATTTTTCGGAGATATGTACTATACCTAGCGACTTCTGTTGTTCGGTGACCCCTAGTGAAATTTACGAGAGAACTTTTTTCTCTTTTTTCTCAAAGCTTCTAAAATTAAGGATTGTTGGAGATTTTGGTCAAATTGGAAAGCTATACGAAATTGACCATAACCTAATTAATCGACCAATTTAAATGTCCAAATTTTGGAGGGGTGCATAATATTTAGAGACTTCTTTTGTTTGGAGACCCCCTGTGAAATTTGCCGGAGAATATTTTTCACATTGACACCAAACTTCTAAAATCGAGAATTGTTGGAGATATTTGGGTCAATTAGAAAAGTATGTGAAATCGACCAAAAAATGTCTTTAATTTTTAGGGCAAATTTAATTTTATATGACAGCCTAAAAGTAGGCACCATTTTTTTTTTTTTTTGTTTTTTTTTTTTTTTTTGTCAAGCTACTAATGAATATTTTTTGTTTTTGTTTTAATAAAAAATTTAAAACTTAAAACTAATCCCATGAGTATTTTTTCTTTGTCTATTGTGAAAGCCTTGCCTTGCTTTGTTTTTTCATTGTAAATATAATTTCCTGGAAATTTGGTTTGAAGTTTTGTTTTTCGTCCTGAGTTTTTATTTTTTGAGGTCCTGAGTAGAGGTGAGAGCATTTGTTGTTGTTGGTCCATACAACAAAATTGTCCTTTGTGAGATTTGTTTACTTGTGTGTGTGTGTGCCAGGTGTTTAACGTTTTTGTCGCGAACGTTTACTGGCGGCTGCTGCTGCCGCCGCCGTTGCTGCAGCCATAGCAGCAGCTGCTGCCGTTGCATTGACCGATTTACTTCCTGCTCGTTGTTGTTGCCTATTATTATAGCCATTTAGTGGATTCATAATATGATTGGTGGTGTTGTTGTTGCTTTGTTGTTGTTGTCTTGAATTGGCATAGGCTTGATGTAAATACATCTAGATGAAGGTGGAGGAGGGCAAATATTATTTACAATCGTATGTTTTTTTTTCGTTTAATTTAAAAATGAATTTAAAAAATAATAACGAAAACAAAATCCAAATTACTACACAAATAAAAATTACATACATACATACAGGCACACAGTATTCAATTACTTTTACTTAATATTTAAACATATAAATTTTTACTAATTATAAATACATTATTTTTGTACAGAAAAAATATTTAAAAAAATATTTTTTTTACTAAAATTATTTGGAAATATTTTTTAAATAATTTTTTTTCTATTTTTTTTTAATTTTTTTTATATTTTTTTATGTTCCCCATTTATCTTATGCTTGTATTGAGAGGCAGAGAGAGAGCGCAAAAGAAAAACCAGTTTTTTTTTCCTTCCACTTTGTTACAAATTTTCTTTGAAGTTATTAGAAGAAAACGAAGACGATGAAAAAGGAGAAAAAAAAAACAAACAAAAAAAAAAAAAAAACAATTGTTGCCATTGGCACAACGCAACAATTGTAAAGAGAAGGCTTCTTTTTGCACGAACAAGAAAAATACGGAGACAACAAGAAAATGACGAAAAAACAGAACAACATCAGAGAAAGGCGAGATACACAAGCCGCCATAAGTAGGCCAACTTCTTTTTTCTTTTTCTTTTTTTTTTTTGATTTTGATTTTAGACATTGTGTCGTGCTGACGAAACAGCACTTATTTACGATTTGAAAATCAGATAGAGTGGAAAATAAGAAAAACAAATATGGAGAAGAGGTAAAAAAGTAGCTAATTTTTGCAGTAAAAAATTACAAAAATATATTAAATTAAAAATTAAAAAAAAATCCTAAAAATAGGCAGCATTTTTTTAGGTTAGGTTCAAAAAATTTGAATTTAAAAAAAAACTGTAGTTTCAAAGAGGACATAATCTCCAGCAGAATAAGAAATCTCTTTAAAAATGTCTAATGTTGGAAAAATCAAATATTTTTTGATTTTGAAAAAATGAGGATAGGTTGAAAAAAAAATTAAAATCTAAAAAAATTGAGTTTCAAAGCAAATGCAAGCCTCGGAGAAATTTTAAATCTCGCAAGAAAAGATTTCACACGAATGATGTGGAGCCCCAAACATTAAAAGAGGTTAGGTTCAAAAAATGAAAATCAAAAAATTAAAATCTCCAGCGTTATTAGAAATCTCTTTAAAAAACAGGTCTAATGTTGAAAAAAAAACTATTTTTTATTTTTGAATTTAAAGTTAAAACATGTGAGGTTAGGTTAAAAAAATAAATAAAATCTAAAAAAATGTAGTTTCAAAGCAAATATAAGCCTCGACGATATTTTAAATTTCGTAAGAAAGGGTTTCACACGAATGATGTAGAGCCAAACAGCATGTATTTTTCTTTAATTATTCGAAAAAATTTTGAGGTTACGTTTAAAAAATTAAAAACTAAAAAAATGAGTTTCGAAGCAAATTTAAGACTCGGCGAAATTAGAAATCTCGTAAGAAAATGTTTGAATGATGTAAATATCAAGTATTTTTTTTAATTTTTCGAAAAAAACGTGAGGTTATGTTGCTTTATTTATTTATTTTTATTTATTTATCTATTTTTTAATTCCCTTAATAATTAATAACTACGTTGAAAATATGAAATGTCTTATCAATACTAAATCATAGAAATTGGTTACAACACCAAAATGTGGACTTTGATTAAAATTGAAATTTGAGGTTATGTTAACCAAAAAATCAAAATTCTGACTTGGATGAACTTTTTATGCATTAAACACATAGGTTCATCGTTAAGAAGCCTAAAAATACAAGGAAGTGGGGTAATAACATTTTTTGAAAATGTGAGGTTATGTTGAATATATCAAATTAGTTGAAATTTGAAAAATAACCCTTAATATTTATAATTGCGTTCAATATGATAGAAAATATCATTCACAATGCATTAAAAAGTGGTCTGACGCTTAAAATTATGTTATAAATGATTTCATAAATTTGAGGTTATGTTGAACAAAATTAAAAATTCAGAGTGGAAGGACTTTTTATGCATTAAACAAGTTGCTTTATAGTTTAGAATACTAAAATACATGATATTTTACCATCAAGATTTCAAGAAAGTGAGATATTAATTCTTTTTGAAAAATGTGAGGTTATGTTGAATATTTCAAATTAGTTGGAATTTGAAAATAACCTTTAATAATAATAATATGTAGCATCATTCAAAATACATTAAAATGAGATCTGTCTCTTAAAATTATCTAATAAATGATTTTATAAATTTTGAGGTTATGCTGATCAAAATCAAAAATCTGACTGGATGGACTTTTTTATGCATTAAACATGTAGTAAACATATTAAAAGACATGATATTTTACCATCCAGAGACCTTAAAAGTGAGATATTAAAATTTTCGAAAAAAGTGAGGTTATGTTGAATAGTAAAATTTGCAGAATAACCCAAAAAATTATTAATAATTGTGTTCAAAAGTAATGGGAGGTCATATTAACATAAAATGTACGAGATTTGCTAAATTTTTGCGAATTAATTTCTTGGAAATTGAATCGAATTCGTTCAATACGAATTTCCGTTCGATAAAATTTAACATAAGCTCAATGTTTTTGTTCATTTCTGACCCATTTGGGATTTATTTATATCGAAACTTAAATCCGCACTTTGATCAGTAATTTTTCATGAAATAATTTCTTGGGAACTGAAACAAATTTGAGAGATTTTGAAATACTAAAGCCTCAAAAAGGCCAAGTATCGCCAAGTATGGGCTCAATTTGTTGTTGATTTCTGACCCCCATTTGGGATTTATTTATATCGAAACCTAAATCCGTACTTTGATTGGCAATTTTTTGCAAATTATTTTCTTGGTAATTGAATAGAATTCTTAGGATATTGAAAAATGTAAGTCTCAATAAAGGCCGAGTATCGCCTCAATAAGAATTTCCCTACGATAAAATTGAACATGGGCTCAATTTTTGTTCATTTCAGACCCATTTGGGATTTATTTATATCGAAACCTAAATCCGTACGAATTAATATCTTGGAAATGTAATCAAATTCTTTGGATTTTGAAAAATTTAAGTCTCAAAAAGGTCAATAGGAATTTCCGTTCGATAAAATTGAACATGGGCTCAATTTTTTGTCCACTTCTGACCCATTGGTATTTTATTTTATCGTTAGGTAGGAAAGGTCAAGGGTCCCTTGTTCATATATTTTCTTTTTCCTTTTCCCCTCTCACTGTATGTTATCTATGAAAATTGTAAACAAAAGTGTATAATTTTTAATTAAAATATGAAAAATACATAACCTCAAAAATATGCCACTTTCTAACCTCAAAATTCAAATGAGCGACCCTTCAACTTTTCAGCAAAGCCAAAAATTGGATTTCAACAATTCACATAAGAATTCTACAAATTTTTACAACATCTTCAACCCAAAAATATGGATTGGAACGGGGCCTCTCTCAGATTCTACACCTTATAAATATTTTTTTAAAAATATTACTAAAATTTTTGTTTATATATACATAATAAATATGTACATAAAATTGTAATTGTTTTAGCACAACTCACCTGTGATGCTAACATTTGAGCATGTATTAAAGGTAGACTGTTTTGTTGCTGTTGTGACATCCAAGGACTATTTGCTAAAGCCTTTATTTTTTCAAAATTAATAGCGATTTTTTCGATATTTTTGTAACCGTTTGGAAGAAAGGACGACAGACAGACAATATAATCAATCAATCGAGCAATGTGAACGCGAACATTTTGAACGGAAATCAAATGAAAAGAAAAAGAAAAAAAGGTGTTCATTTAGTTAAGAGTTTTGGTGAGGGGGAATTACTAGATATAGAGCAGCAACAAGCTGGCATCCTAGGTAGGCCCAGCTGTTGTCGTGATGGTGATGATTTTTTTTTTTTTTTTTTGTGTAGAAAAAAAATAGTAAAGGAAAAAAATGAGAAAAAAAAAATAAGCACCTGTACTGTGGCTTGTGCCGCTAATGCATTCGAATGCATACGTTGGGCAGCAGCAGCTGCAGCAGCATTCGGCTGTTGTTGCAAAATATTTTGAGCACTATAGGCGGCTGCAGCTGCATTGGCAGCTGTCCCCCTCTTCATAACCTGTTGATGATGGGCCGCCGCCGCTGCTGCAGCTGAGGAATGTTGCTGTTGCTTTTGTTGCAATGTGGGTTGACTCAATACCTTTGGTGGTGGCTGTGATGGTTGCCTTGTCCAATTCACCGAATTATTTGCATTCGATCTATTACCAATCAACAGATTTGAATCCACAACTTTACTTGGCCAATAATCCTCAAATTCTGTGCCATTGGGAAAGTAGCTTTTGATATCCGTCAAACTAATAACTGCCACATTTTCACTGGAAAACAATTCATTGCGTATACCCTGGACCTTGCAACAGAATTTCAAATAGGCCAAATCCCAACCGGATAGTAGATCCGCTTTTTGTCTTAGATTTTCTGTTTCACCTTCAAAATAGAACAACGGCACCACCTGTTCACCATTTCGTACAGTATAGGGAACCACTGACTCTTTGTTGATGCGTATAAAACCACATTTTTCGGAGGGTGATTTACTACCCGATATCAGTTTACGATAGCAAATATCCAAAAATTGATAGAATTTTGTGGCATCGGAGAGCCGCACCACCAAATCCTTTTGCGTGAACATATCACGACCAAATTCACCATCACAATGTTTGTGATTGATTTCAATGAAAAGGCGGGCCTCCGCCTCGGTAATATAATAGGAACGTACACATGTGCAACTGGAATAGATGTCGGGATGTAGACAATTCAAATATTTGCCCAATAGCTTCAATTCGATCATACGCACGGAACAGTATTTTTCCGATTGCCGATAGATGTAGGGTATGAATGTCTTGCCAAAAGTGGTCCAACCGAAATGGCCCTTTTGTGATTCCTCATCACAGGGGGCCTTTTTGTTGTCATCTGTGCTGGAGGAACGACCATTTGTTGCTGCGGCCGCCGCTCCGGATGTTGTTGTACCATTGGCGGGTTTTTGTTGGCGATTTAAGTAGTTGAGGATATTGGTTTGACCATTGGCATTGACAGGTGGTTGCATTTGGCCATTGACCATGGCTTGTCGTGAGGCCAATTGGGCGGCCTGCTGCTGTTGCTTGGCCAGCGCATCCTTTTGGGCCTCTTTCATTTTGGCCGCCAATTCTTGTATTTCGGCATCATCGGCACGTTCCTGTTTGACCGGTGCCGACCATGTTGAGCCCAAACCGGTACCATGTATGGGTAATGGTTGGCCATTGGCACCCACAACATGGATAATTTCAATGTCGGCTGACATGGTGGTGATGTGGAGGAGGAGGAGGTTGATGTGGTATGATGATGATAAATATTTTTGTTGTTGTTCCAAATCTTGCTGCTGGCGATGGAGGTTGATGTAATTTTCACTATTTTTTGTTGTTTTCTTTATTTATTTCCATTAAAAACACATTTCGCTAGGCATATTGCATTTAATTGCCTTGGTTTTATTTAATTCCAGTTAATTTGCTGGCAAATTTACTTATTAAATTCCTTTTTTTCTTCTATTTCTATTATTTTTTGTAATTGATTGTTGTTATGCTTTGATTTGCTTTGAATGACATATAACTTTCATATGTTGTTAACTGAGTAGCTTGCTCTCTTTCTCTCTTTGGCATGCTCATGGCAGGCACAATACACTTTGTTGATGTCACACAACACTCTCATGTATAGTTGAGCTCTTCACCAACAACAACAATAAATAAAACAAAAACACACACACAATTCAAGTAACCAGTAATTGCATTCTTTTTGTTGTTGTTGTTGTTGTTATTTTCGACGTTTGCCGTTGTTTTTGTTGTTATATGCTGATGCTTCTTCTTCTTTTACTTTTGTATGGCAAATACACAATTCACACACACAAAAACACATGTACACACAATCCAATAGCCAGCAGGCTTTGTGTAGTGACTGCGTTGCTTACACACAATGTAGAAGCCTCGTTTTTTCACAGCCAGGGCTGCGTTGGATTTTTAATGGCTTTTGGTTGATTTTTAATTTGTTAATGAAATATACAACTTTTGTTGTTGTATTTTAAAATATTTCATGAAATTATATTTTTTTTAATTATTTATTTAAATATTTTAATTCATTTCATGTATTTTTCTCTGCTTTTTAAATTCATTCACAACACTTTTCTTGTTTGTTCTAATTAATATTTCACGACGCGTTTTGTTTTTTCTTGTTTTAATTAATATGTAGTATATTTTTATTTTTTTTTTTTCTTATTAGCTGTTGATTTTGTTGTTGTTTACGCTCTTTGCTTTTTTTGTTAACAGCAAAGCATTAATTATTATATGTATTTTGAACGACGACGAGCGCATTCGGTCTGTGCTGTGGAGGGGGTCGGTGTCACACACAGAAAAAAAATAAATAAAGCGAGAGACTATTTGATTGAGCACGGCGGTACCAACGACGTACACATTTACCGTTCAATAGTCAGTATACGAGTGTGATCGTTGTTTCTGCTGAAAATTCATACAAGCCCAAAAACATGCAACCAAAACGAACAGAGGAAGCAGCAGCAGGCAGCAACAACAACAACAACCGACTGCGGCTGTGATGACGCAAAGCAGCGGCTGAGGCAGCGTAAACACAAAATATAAATGTACCCCCTGAGATTATATATCTACACAGACACACACAGGCAAGCATACTTATATAGCAGGGTATATACATATACACACTCACACATAAACACATTATACTTGCTGGTTTATACGGGTATAAAACAAAAACAATGCAACAATACACATCAAGAAGGCAGAGCGGCAAGGCAGCGACGCAGCGCAGTAACTACTAACTTTATTTCATGTTTGTATTGGATTCTTCTTGCTGCCTCTTAGTGTTGTTGTTGGTGTTTCTTTGAAAGAAACGAACGAACAAAAAAATAATAAAACCCACAATGACGCCGTCAACGTTAGTTATTGGTTTTTGGGGGGCTTCGGTTTTCCATCATCAGATGACGACAACGATGATGATGATAATATAATTGTACTACACGATGAGGAGGAGGGGGCATTTAATTTTCGTGTGAAATGTAAATGTGTGTGTACACAATTAAGCGAAAAATGTGTATTTTTCTATTTTTTCATTTAAAAAAAAAATTATTCTCCTCAGTTAGCCGTATGACGCCGTCGCTGCCATTTTATTGGCGTCGGGCGATGGCGTTTGCATACAGCGAAAAAACACAACGAAACAAAACGTTAGTCTCATTCTCATTGACAGCCAGCAAGATTGGACAGGCCCCGTTTGCCGCCAAATGGCAGCAGCAAAAATGTGTTTTTTTTCTTCTTCTTCTTCTTCGTCGTCGGTATTGTTGTCGTCGTTCGTTCGTTCGTTGTGCTTTGGCTATACAAAAATGTACGATGGCATTGTTGTTGTTTTTGGTATTTTGCTTGCTTTTTTCGGTTTAACGTTTCTCTTGATATTTATGTACGTCGTAGATATGTATGTACATAAGAGTGTAAATGTTTGTTCAATGGTACATACACACAAACACACTGTGCTCTTGTCCATATCGGGTTTTATGGGTATTTTTTTTGGTTTCATTTTTGTGCTGCTGCTGTTTCTTATGATTGGTTTTGTTTTTTCTTGCTTGTTTTTTTGACTGATGCGGGCAATAATATTTTATTGTTTTTGTTGTTGCTATTGTATGTATTGCTTTTTTTTGCAGAAAATAAGAATAAAAAAATGATTAAAACTTTTTTCTTTCCTTGGAAATGGGAACGTCTTAAAAATTAAGGGAAACACACAATTAAAGGCGCCATATTTTTGATTAACAGATGGTTTGTGGTAGAGAGGGAAAGAGAGAGAGGGACTTTGTGTGAGAGACTGACATAAGCAAATAAAATCATGTTTTTAAGGGAATTAAAGGCAATTTCTGTTAGATTTAATATTAAATAATATATATTTATAATAATTAATAAAAAAAATATGAAATAACAATAAAAAATAATAATGGAAATATAACATTTATATGTTTATTAGAATTTTATTTGTGTTGTTTATATTTTTGATTAAAGACGGTGAGACACAAGGAGAGCTTGAGAGTCGGAGATAATGAAATGACAGTCGGTTTAATTAATATTCCAAGGAATTAAATTTAATTTGAACTTAATTAAAAATAAATATTAATTAAATAAAATATATTTAATAAAAATTCGAGGTATAATTTTGTTATAGGATTTTTTGCAATTTATATATTTATTTGTTAAAGACGAAAAGAGTGAAGGAGATCGGAAGAGTTTGGGATAAAAAAAATTTAAGGCGGTTTATTGATATAATATTTATTTTAGTTGTACGGAAATAAAAATAAATAATAAAAAATCAAAGAAGTAAAATTTTATTATCTCGATTTAATATTTATTTATTTTGTTTTTTGGCAATTTTTATAATATTTTCAACATAACCTCATAAGAAATAATGATATTTTCTTAAAGAAATTATATTACCGGATAGTTAAATTTTAAACGACATCTTTAACAATTATTAGGCATTTAATAAAAATAATAACTTTTATAAATAAGAAAATAAATAAAAAAATATATTGATTTCAGCTTACATAAATACCTTTTGTATACCTTTATTTGCCATTTTATCAAACTAACCTACAAATGTTTCAACAAAATCTCAAAAATATTTGACAATTTTAGAAATTTTTTAATCAAATTATTGATATAAATTTTATTTTGCATTTTTTTCTAAATATATTGCAATTTATTTAAGTTTTTGAAAATAAAATTCAACATAACCTCAAAAAAATTTACCATTTTTTTACAAATATAAATTATGTTATTTTTGATGTTATTTGTATTTTATATTGCTTTCAGCTTAAATAAATACATTTTGTTTGCCTTTATTTGCCATTTTATTAAACAAACCTACAATATGATCAACCTAACCTCAAAATTTTTTGGCAATTTTTTTTTGGGATTTTATAAAGAATTATTGCCAAAAAAAATAATTTTGTAATTATTTGAAACAAAATTATTAGTTTTTTTCAATAGCTCTGCTATATACAATTGTTTAATAAAAATTTCAACATAACCTCAAACAATGTTAACAATTAAAAAAATATATATACACAAATTTCCTTCTTTTTATGACTTTGTATTTCAATTCTTCTTTTTCAATTTCTAACTTAAATAGAGGCATTTTTTAACATTTTTATCAAAAAAATTCAACTTGACCTCACAAATTGTTAACAATTTTTTTAAGAAAAAAACTGACTTTCGCTATTTTTATGATGATATTTGCATTTTATATTAGATTTACTAAACCTTAGCTAAAATTATGTTGATTTTTTTTGCAAATTTTTATAAAAAGTGAACATAACCTTATAAAGAAAAATTTATAAAATTTTAAGAAAAATTTATAATTTTCGTTACTTTTATGATGTCAATTGCGTCTAATATTGATTTCCATAAACATCGGCATAGGCAAACAATGTTTTTACCATTTTAAACAAAAAAAAAAAAAAATTCAACATAACCTCAAAATATGTTGAAAAAATGTTTTGAAGTAAAAACCTCTAAATTTCGCTTCTTTATAATATTATTTGTACTTTATATTACTTTCTTTAAATTTTATTTTAAAAAAATGATTTTTTAATTTTTTCAAAAAAAAAATGCAACATAACCTCCAAAAATTTTAAAAATTTTTTTAAGAAAAAATTAAAAATTTTGCTAGTTTTATGATGCTATTGGCGTTTTATATTTATTTTTATAAATATCAGCTGAGGAAAACAATTTTTTGGCATTTTTAACAAAAAAATTCAACATAACCTCAAAATATGTTGAACATTTTTTAAGTAAATACCTTTAAATTTCGCTTTTATATAGTATTATTTGTACTTTATATTGCATTCATCAAATTTTTATTTAAATAAACTGAGTTTTTTTATCATTTTATTAAAAAAAATCAACATAACCTCAAATTATTTTAACAGAATTTTTTACGAAAAATCTATATACAAAATTATAAATTTATTTTCTATAAATTTGGCTATTTTTATAATTTTATTTGCCTGATTCCATCACATTTCAGCATAAATAAACACACTTTTTTGCGATTTCTAATAAAAAATTCAACACAACCTCAAAAAATTTTAACAAAAAATTTTAACGTAAACTTGTAAAATTTCTAATTTTCATGAACATCTCGCCAAATAATCTAAATTTATTTATTTTCAGCATAAATAAACACACATTTTTTCCCGATTTCTAACAAAAAAAATTCAACATAACCTCAAAATATTTGAAA